TTCCCCCTCCTTTTTAATGTGGAACACTATTCTAACCTCAATCGGAATTATTCAAATTATAAGACTATTCGTTTTGGTTTCATTACTTCAYAACTTAGCTCAAGTGGGCTCCTTGTGACTAAGGTGCTCTCTCCTGATTGGTTACASTTTTCATTGAACATCGTGATTGGCTAACTTGGTAAGAACGGTCCTTGTTAGACTGACCACATAATGAGAACGTGGTAGCCGTTGTTATATTTCTGTTCATCTAGTTGTTCAGCCAACCAAATCCACGTATTGTCTGTTTTAGGAGCAAGTGTGATTATTATTGGGTTATTATTATTCCAGTTTTTTATAAGCGAGAGGTCCATAATCCAGTTCCCWGTGATCCCAGACACTTGTTTCGCCGACGCCTCTCAAATCTGTATGGCTTCACCTTTGAATACTGATGGACAGAGGAGGTAAAGTGCGCACCTTCAGCTCCCTAGAAGATCAGCTACAGTGATCGACGTCAAATAAGGCCTTTACCTGAATCGAAATAGTAATCCATATAATCCACGTACAGTTTGCCTAAAACCATTTTGTTTGGCCCGGAGGAAGTGGTATAGTTTCATTTCACGTTGAGGCAACAATACATATGATTTGACCTTGAAGCAATTTCGAATCGAATCTGATTGGTTAGGTAAGGACTAGGGAAAGTCCCTACCTTGGTTATTTACTTTCACGTTGAGGCATATTACACTATTGCATGCTGATTGGTTGAATGCGTCTTATTTGACCTCGAGGGCAAGGCAACAATGGCAAGGCAATAAATTGATTGGTTAGGATAGGAGTAGGGAAATTCCCTCGGCCGTATATTTTTCGTTTTATAACAAACAACTCCATTGCTTGGCTTGGCTTGTATTTTTGCTTTTACTGACTTAACTGACGGATTTTTGTTTTGCTTCTAAATATTCCCCAGCTAAAATGCAGAGCCAAGATTTTGATACAAAGTTTAATGCGGTGCATCCAGCTATAAATRTAGCCACTAAAGACCAGAAGCCTTTAGATCATCGTGTAGACGTGGACTGGCAGTATTCAGATCATTCTGGACCAAGTTCAAACTACGAATTCAAAATACACGAAGGCGATAACCAATTTAAAGCGATTGCTAAAGTCAATGCTGAGGACCAGAAACTCATAACTAACAATGAARAGATGGAAGAACAACATTTTGTAGATACTGCACCCCGCGACACAAGGAARCTTGGGGCACACGCGTACGACAAARGTTTAACATTTCGTTCACCAGAACTGAAATCCATCAAGTTGTTTTTGCCGGGAACCTTGCAGAAAATAATTCCACTTCCTGTAGCTGTGTTACTTACATTAGCGACCGTTGTGTACTGTCTCCACGTTTTTGGGCTATTTGGTGACAAAACCCTGGTAGAGGAGGAAATGAGTCTGACTTTGACCACATTCAAGAACATCATTTGGACCTTACGAACTCCARTATTTACATTTTTTGGATTTTGCTACTTAAAATGGTATCTGGACGATATTCCTAGCAGCTTTCGACTTCCTTTGGGAAGTCTAACGATTCTTAGTGTGAAAATACTTATTTGGATTGTTATTGAGCTTGTTTTGACCGTGGTACTTCCGGCCATCGCACGATACGTACAAATGATATTGCTCCCAACGTTTACCGAAAAAAAGGACTCATTCGATGCAGCAACTGCCATTATGAACACTATATTTTTGATATTGGCAAGATTACTTGCCCTCCCTATCCTCTTTAACTTTATTGCAGAATTATATCTGTTGTATCATGAAGTAAAACAATACGAGAAGGACATTCAAAAATGGGAACAAGGACAGCGCATGGCCCGCAACTACTTCATCGACATCCGAAACAAGATTAAGAGAGTCGAGAAAACGTTTCAACCGTTCCTGGTCGTTCATCTTGGGATTCTGATCCTGATGTTTGTTCCAGGGGTTCTGAGTTACGTCGAAAGATTCAATACGGAGGGAACAGTAACTAAATTTGTCTTGAAGGAGCAAGCGGACAGGATGTCGGATCCCATCAGTCTCATCGACCCAGGGACTATGCTTATGAACAATCATAGCACTGGTTTTCAACTCACAAAGAAACCTCGTCCGTTGGCTTTGGTGATTTACCTAAAACGGAGACGAACAATACAATGGAAGAAAGACAACAACAAGTGGCGGAAAGGCAAACGAAAAAAGTACTAGACAAAAATGCTCGAGCACGGATCATTTTGGCCGCTCTTACATTCTTGGGTGAGTTACTGGCCCTCTATTTGCCACTCATTCTATTGGGGAAAATCAATAAAACTCTTGCTAGTATACCCCAAACAATACGTTACGGTCTGAAGTACGATGAGCAGCAAGAAAGCGGCTACTTGATTCAAAACGATCAGGTTGTCAAAGAAATGTTAAGAACCATGGAGGACGTAGAAGGGTTTCAGATACTAGGAATGAGGCTAACAGTCATCAAAACTCTCTTGATTGCTGTCCTGGCACCTTTGTTGACACTTTTGTTTCACATCATCATTAGAGATGTGGACATATCCCCTTGAATACTCTGACGGAACGCTCTAGTCTGCTGTCCTTAGCCAGTTACCCACAAGATGCGCTATGGATGACTTGCTTTGCTTTCCTGGGGGGATGGTGGGGATATGGGGTGCCCGTCCCCAGGCCTGAAATGTAGCCTTATGTCTGCAATGTACTTTTATGTCCTTGGCCAGTTACCCACGGGATGCGGTATACAGATGACTTACGTTGCCTGCCTGGGGGGATGGTGGGAATATGGSAATATGCCCGTCCCCAAGCCTGCAGAGTAGTCTTATATAGTAACTTACAACATTCCCTTCACCATCCATCCCCGAGGCATTTGGTATTCCTTCTTGACATTAGAAGTGTCATTTGATCCCGGAATGCTTTGTAAATAYGTACTATAGATGATGTGTTTTGCCTACCAGGGAGAATGGGAGCGGAGGGGAGGAAGGGGAGGAGAGGGGAGTGGAGTGGAGGGGAGGGGTCTGATGTGCAACATCAACCCACKCCTGGAGGGATTTGGTTTGCCTTTCTTGGCATACGAGTTGGCAATCCCGGAATACTTTGTATATATTACATTTAATTTACAGTTAATTTAGAAGGGGCTAGAAAGCGGAAACTTTAATATAGGCTTTTCATATGAGTCACTTCAGGTATATATCTAATAACGCTAGGACATGAAAGGTAATTAACACCTTAGTTAGCCTTAGTTTTGATAATTTACGATATTATTTTCGACCTCATCCAATATTATTATAGCATATCTTTTGTAGATTGAGAATAAGGATTTATGTGTATTCGAAAAAAGTACTTTAATTCCTGTCTTGATTTAGAGCGACAAATGTATGRCGCCATGTTTATTCCCATGAGAATAAAAACCGTTGTTTTACCCCGCGTCACGCTTGTTCAACATGGTTCCAGCGTAAGAAAGGCCCATTGTCTAGTTGAGTAAAAACACTTGTCATCGCTTTTTCCACCTTTCGTTTTTCACCACCRCAAAGTACAGCAGTGGCGCAGGGTCGAACTGAAAGCATGTGAAGTCGCGTCTGACAGCCGCTATACATGCGGTTCACGTACGATCCCGGAGCACAGCTCTAACTAGTTTGAATTAGTTAGGGTTGATTTGAGAGGGGGGAGGAAAAACCGGTTGACCGGAAAAACCATCGGAGTCAAARAGAGAACCAACCAACTCAGCTCACATGGGGCGACCTCAGAGGTGACAGGAGAGCATTTTTTTAACACCACGCCATTCTCACTCTTSCCCTAGGGAGCACGAAATGAAGCACGATAGGCCATTTCTAATAACAGATCACGTGATCCTATCCCTTTAAAACGAATATTCGAATAACAGTATTATCATTATCCTCTTTGAAATTATTTTTCCACGTCGATTTTCCATAAGATAGCGGATTGTTTTGGTTAGTGACGTCATTATAAACTATATGTGGTCATTTCCAGTGATATACTCCCCCCCTCCAACCCTCCCACAAAAGGCAATATAAGGTGACTTTGTTCCTGACACGAGGCATAAATGGTACTGTAAGATGCTGAGGTAACATGGACTTTATGTTTTATTTGACATTATGCATTCAGTAATTCACAATATTTACATAACTATTATGCATGTAACATTAAGCTATATTATATTAACATCGATAAATGCGAAGCGAGGTAATACTTCATGCTGGCAACTATTGTTGTATTTAAACATGTCCATTTCTGATTACATATTTCTCGTGTTTAAGAACCTTAGGGGCGGATCAAGGGGAGGATCTGTTGGTCCGTGTAYCGCCGTGCACCCCCCTCTTGTCCAGGAGTGCTTAGAAAATGAGACAAATAACATTCCAGAGGGCGTACAATTTGATTTTTTTTTTTCAGTGAGCGTCCCATTTCAGGAAATCCGCTCCYGAATATAGGACGTTTTTTTGGAAGCGACATCAGTAAGCAGTATGATCTAGCTTGGGTATCATGCCTTATATATTGGTGTTACCTAAAAGAAACATTGCATTGTTTACCGAAAAAAAGACCTGTGGGGATGAGAGAATGTTCTATGTTAAGTTTGTACGCAAAAAGGATCGATCTCTATTGACTTAGAAGGCTATTKTTATTACTCATACATTACTATAGACCCCTTGCATGTGATATCAAAGCATCTCGATCGGAGACAAAACAAAAGAATTCTAAACTCCTGAGAATTGGAACCTTTTTTTTTTTTTTTGTCCCCCAGATTGAACTCCGTTCCAAAGTGCTGCAAGGGGTCTATATGAGTGTTAATCAGTAATTATTGGATATTTACACATTTACATGACGGCAAAGACCGTATAAAACGTATCTTCTAAGAGGAAGAAAATTGGGACCTTATCCCTAGCACCAGGCTCACCCTACCTTCACGTAACTAGGCAACAAAATACTTGTCCCTAG